AATGCTGTGGAGTTCATTAATCTCATGAAATCGACAGGCTATGGCTCGTGATGTTGGCAATGTGCAGAGGCAAATTAGTAGTCTCGAATCTCTCTTTTGTTACAATAAACCGATTCCCGAGGAAATAATCGAGAAACCTGTTGGTTTATCTCTACCCGAAAAAGATATCGGGGACAATCCTCGATGCACGAGCTGTCAGACGAAAGGGGCCATTCTTTGCGCCACTTGTTCCGGTTCAGGCTTATATGTGGATTCTATCTTGGAGAGCCAAGGAATAATTGTCAAAGTTCGATGTTTAGGTAAAACCTCCTAACATTAAAAACTTTCGGATTTGGCTTTTTACTCGTTTGTGATCATAATAGTTCTCTAAAAGTAGCGGCACATATTTGAGTTATTTCTGCATAATTGGCTTTTCGATGAAGAGATTTGTATCTGTTCTTGTGGAATTTAAGATCTTTTTTGGTGCATTAAAATAAATATTATGCATATGGGATTCTCAATTGTTCTACCTACAAAATCAGCAACCATTGTTTTATCCCTTCTGTTTTTTCAGAAAAAAATAAAATATACAACTCTTTTGGTTAATTTGTTTGTAGGTAAAGAATCCAATGAAACGAGAACCATTTAGGAAACTGCTAAGGCTATGTTTGGTAAAACTGGCTGAATAAGCTACTCATAGTTGATAAGTTAACTTATAGCTTATAAGTGATTTTCGAGCTTATATCTTATGACTTATGACTTATAGTGAAAAGCTAAGTTTATATGATAAAAGTATTTGATAAAATTAGCTGATAAGCTAGCTGAAATCAAAATTTCAACGAGCTTATTTGAAAAGTTTACCAAAAAAAATTATGAGATAAGCTCGAGCTTTTTAAAAAAACTCGTCCTACCAAAGCTCAATTGAATACATGAAGCTTAAGGTACCCAAATAAGTTATAAGCTAGCTTATTTGGTTACCAAACATAGCCTAATCTTACTTGAAAAATCGTTCCTCAATATTTCATTTTTTCCCAAAATACGCGACTGCCAAAGTACCCTAAATATCTTTAACTAATAGAATTGGGTACTTCCTGAAGTTACTAATCTAAAAATCTTGAGCTCCTTAAAAGTTATGGCCTAAAATTTACTGCAATTAATTTATACCTGTCTAAAGCTCCGAATGAAGTGTGGTAGAGTTATGTTATGGCATATTAAAGTAAAGAGAAATTTTGACTTAACCTGTGTTAACACATTCAGGTTGTGGAGGAACTGGGAATATTATGTGCTCCGAATGTGGTGGCCGGGGCCACATTTGACTGGGCTTCTATGAACAAGGTTTGCTTCTCACAAAACTAGTTGCATCCTAGGATGTAATAAAGAGCGATATTTATGCTTTTTATATTGTGTGTTAATTTGTTGTATCAGATGATGAACCAAAGTGAAATTTTATTTAATGCAGCAGTATTGGTTTCTTACACTACGTACATGAAATTGATGAAATTCCAACAAAAATATATTCCAATGGAATTCAAACCGCAATACCAATGAATATTCCAATGTTATTATTTTCGTTGGAATTTTTCAATGCATACCAACGGAAATTCCAACGGTTGGAATGAATTTTCCATTGGGATTTCTAATGGATTTTGATTGGAATATATATTATTGTATAATTTTTCGTTGGAATATGACATTTTCCATTCGGTTCTCTTTTGAGAGAATTTTCCGCCCCTTATCAGAAATTGGGCCTGTAAATCCCGTTGCCTACACGTACAGCTTGTATGCTGCATATGGCTTTTTCTGCAGACCCATTCCATTTATTTTTTGATAAGATAAATAAAATCATGTTTAATTAAAATTTTATATTGAAGTATGTATGTAATGAATTTTAAGGGTACGATCAAATATAAGATTTTTTTTAGAAAACTTTTGTCTTGACTTGTTCAGAAAATGTAATGGAAAAGAGGAGTAAGTTGATTTTGGAAAGGAAAAAAAAAAGACATGTATAATTGAGATTGTGAATGAATCATTGGTAGTTAGAAATATATTTCTTAATATTGTTACTAGTTAAGTAGTTAACTACTTGATAAGTAAATATAATGATTAAATTTAATGTGATAAAAAGTAATAATATATTTATTAAGAAACATTGGTAGTTAGAAATAATAAATACCAATATTAGTTAACAACCTAATCATTGNAAATGTTTTCTTCTTTCCCTCAACACTACAAAAAAAAAAGACAAAATTAAAGAAAAAAATGGTGAAATTAGTAGCACTTTTTTTCTTCTTCACATGCTGCCTCCTAATTTCCTTAGCCTCTGCACAACTGAAAGTAGGGTTTTACACATCCATTTGTCCACGGGCCGAGTCGATTATCCGAGGATTCGTGCAGCAACGGTTCAACCGAGACCGGTCCATAACGGCAGCTTTGCTTAGGATGCATTTTCACGATTGCTTTGTTCGGGTAACTAAATTGACTACGTACTCGTTTTCTTTTTTTTTTCTTTTTTTTTTAGTTTTTTCCGACTATAAGTTTGAGAATTGTTTTCTAGCAAGAGTTTGCAAGAAATGCTAGTACACATGATTTTGCATGTAAAAATATTTGCCTCACTCAAGTACACAATTGAATTGAATTTCGATGATGATCACCTTATTTGTAGTTATGTAGTTGTGCTAAAATTGGTCCTGTGCCTAACCTAGCAACTCTTTTAAGTATACGACATTTAAGTATATATATAAAAAAAAACCATGTCTAACCGTTAAACCTATCTAATAGGGCTGCGACGCGTCAATCCTGATCGACCCCACCGCCACCTCACCATCGGAAAAGGACGCGGGCCCCAACGAGACCGTCCGCGGCTACGACCTAATCGACTCCGCCAAGAAAGCCCTCGAAGCCGCGTGCCCCTCGACCGTCTCGTGCGCCGACATCATCACCCTAGCCACCCGGGACTCCGTCACCCTCGCCGGCGGGCCCAGATACGACGTCCCCACGGGCCGTCGAGACGGGCTCGTCTCCGACCCAAACGAGGCCGCGAGCCTCCCGGGCCCGTCCGACCCCATTCGGGCCGTGCTCGGGCTCTTCCGGGCCAAGGGCCTCACCGCCAACGACACGGTGGCCCTCCTCGGGGCCCACACCGTCGGCGTGGCCCACTGCGCGTTTTTCCAAGACCGGCTCACGGGCTTCGGGCCGTCCGGTAATAGGCCCGACCCGAACATGGACCCGGGCCTTGCAGCCCGGTTAAGGAGGTTGTGTGGGACGGAGATCCGGCCGTTGGATCGGGACCCGACGGCGTTCCTCGATCAGGGGACGCCGTTCGGTTTCGACAATCAATTTTACAATCAGACGGTTTTTCGGAGGGGCATTTTGGAGATTGATCGGGCGCTAGTGGTCGACCGGACGACACGGCCGATCGTGTTGGGTTTCGCGAAAAACGGCGTCGTTTTCGGGCAGAGTTTTGCGAGGGCTATGGTGAAGATGAGCAAGATTGAAGTTCTCGTGGGGAAGGCCGGCGAGATAAGGAGAAATTGCCGGGTTTTTAATCCAAAACCATCTCGATCTCGTCGTGGAGTTTGATTACTCGAGTGGGTTTAAACTAATTAATTGATTGTTTTTACTTTTTTGTATTTCATATTTTGATATTTGTGAGGGATTATTAATATACAAACTATACATTTTTTTTTTTTTCAAGATTTGAATGTGTTTGTTTTGTGTATAGTTATGTTGCATTATATAATGGGTTATGGGCTTTAACAATTGATCAAAACCAATGTGTAGCAATGTTCGATTCAGTGGCAAGTAATAAGTTGGAATCACGTCGCTTATATTATTATTTACTTGAGATTGGCTGTGGAAAATGAAGTTGAAATCACGTCGAATAATTTTAGAATTTATACATGTTATTATAGCAATACTATATTATATAAAGTGGTTGGAACAAGGTGAAATTTAAATAGTAATTGTTTATTAAAGTTAGAATTTTATAAGAAATTTTTATAAACGACAGACTTTATATTAATAAATACCAGAATTACATATTAGAAAACAACTAGAAACGATTTAATTAGTTAGCTACTAAGTTGAATTTGGGAGGTTTGTTCAAAGGTAGTCTATAATGAATAAGACAAAAACTATCACAAACTAAATAAAACTAAACAAAAACTCCCACGGATGGAGACTAAGAGCATGTTTGTTTATGGAAATTTTTAGTTTATTTAGATTTTTGGTTTTGGTTTGGTTAATTTTAAAATGTTGTATGGTTAGTTGTTAGTGTGTATATTAAAATAAAATTTAAAATAAAATAATTAAAATTAATTTGATGTAAAAGTAGGAGAGAGATGGTTGAAGTGATTGTTAGTTAAAATAATGTGAGTGGATGAATAGTGGATTAAGGTTGATGTGGTGAGTATGAATGATTGATTGATATTATTTAATTATATTAATAATATTGATGATAGTGAGATTGAGTTAAAGTTGAGTTAAAAAAAGTGGTTGAGTTAAAATGTGAAATTTTTATGAAAAATATCCATAAACAAAATCGAGCTGAAATCAAAAACCGAGTCAGATAGTGCAAATTTGGTGGCGTCCAATTCAATTTTTTATGTAAAAATTTTTGGTGCGATATTATTATAATTTTTCCTAAATTCGATTTTCGATTCAATGCGATTTTGCATCGAAGAGCAACAAAATAAATAAAATGTATAAAAAATTGAGATAAAACCAAAAACATAGCCGAACCGCATACTTTTTGATGCAATTCGGTTCGATTAGTTTTAGTGTAAAAAAATCAGTTCAATTTCGTTTTAATTTTTTTCTAAGTTGTGGTGCAGTTCGATTTTTTTTTTTTTCTTTTGAAGTTCGATTTTTCGGTTTCTTGTGTTTTGGTGCGGTTTTTTTACTGAACTACACCTTTTCTCACCCCTACCAATATTGTTGACTAGATAACACACAAAAGAAGAGAAAACAAAGAAAGAAAATACCCCTCCTATTTTTATTATTTGTCATCCTAGCTTAATTGATCATTTGTTAAATAAATGTCGTTTTGACTATTTTTTACATATTTTTTCATCATTACCCTCATCTAACTAATAAATACACTACGTCTTTTCATGTTCACTCTCCATCTTTTCTCAAAACATCAATCTCTATCTTCATTAATGAGGGTTATTATTGGCAAAAAAAATATTCTTAATTATTGTGCAACTTCTCAAAACGACATTTATTAAAAATAGGAAGGAGTACAATGGTATAAAATAAATAGTGCATCTCTTCCCGGAGCTAATTCGTCACCACTACCAAGAACCATCAACACACTTTAAGGCCGTCAATCCACAAAACAAGATAAGAACAATAGATCTGAAACCAACTCACCTGCAAACTCCAAATCACTCGAACGGCTCCGAGAAGAGTATACAAATCCAATCCGGGAAATTTTTATCTCTCCTACAAGATATGGAGAATATTGGAACAATATCACCTTCATTAAATTAATTGCATATCCATACTTACATTAAAGGAGTCTTATTTACCAAATTTAGTAGTTAGAAAAATCAACAGCATTTATTGTCATTACTATTTCCGTATTATACAATTTTATTTAATATTTGTTTTTTTGTTACGATTTTTAAAAACAGATATGGTCAAATTCTCTCATCATTAATTACTTTCCATTAATTATAATTTATTTATTTATTATTTTCTAGCAAAAATGGACCAACATTAATTGATTTCTTTAAAATGTGGAAGTTGTTGCTTTATTTTTGTACAGAAAATCGGGCTTACTTATAGAAATTTGTTCGATTACACAATGAATTTGCTATGATATAATTATTTTTTACGGGAACTTTTTTTTTAGCAGAAAAATATGGCATTTCAATAAGATTTTCGATTTTTTAAGACTTATTGTTATCATGCTATGAAATTGAACATTCCAATATACCTTAACAAAATATACACGTGGTGTATACATCAGTTAATAGAAATATAGAATCCTCATATTTTTATATATATGTATGTAATTTTTCTATTACCAAATTTAATTGATAGTTGTTGTGTTATGAGTTTTTCATAATTGTTACTTGGTTTTTGTGATATTTAGTTTGGTTGGTGTCGCAAAAATTCTAATCTATATATATAATAAGAACAATCATTACAATGCAAATTAGAAAAATATTGATATTAGAAGAGATTGAGTTCATGACTTTTCTTAAATCAAAGTTGTTTAATTAGTATATAAAATTAAATTCTACAAAAATATATATGTATATTTTGTACATTATTTATACACTATCTAATTTTAAATTTATTTACATATTTTAAATTGATTACTTATATAAATAATACCAACGTGCATTAAATATATTTCATTACATAAAATAAAAAGAACAAGAAGACGTGCAACTTCTATAACTTTATAAATAATAATGACATTATATGGCAAGAGAGTTTAATAATTAACTATTATATAGTGAATAAGAATAAGTGAAATTGTTGAAATTGTTATTTTCTCTTATATCAATGAATAAATATATATAATAAAATTAAATTTATATTAGTATAAACGTATTAGTGAGATAATATATTAATTATTTTACAAGTTAGCCCTAACATGCTCACGTTTAATGTTCTGACTAATAAAACAACGCTAATTAAAAGATGTGAAAAATAGATTACAACCGCCCCACCAACCCCTACCTTCCTATTCCCTGCGAGTTATCTCTCGCTTTTTTCCCTATTTTTTTAGACTTAACGATGATTAAAAGAGTTGGAAAATGGATGATAACTCTTTTCAGACTTAAACGGGACTTAACGGTGATTAAAATAGGTGGAAAATGGATAATAACCATTCTCAGACTTAAACGGATAGAGTCTGTGAAAATAATTCATTTAATATCTCTCCCGTGCATCGCACGGGATACGTACTAGTTTACCTAAAAGATAAAATTAACTACATTAATGCCTAATTTAGTTACCATATCAATTCAACTTCTTCTCCTTCTTTTTTGCCCTTGATTTGCATCTATACGCTAAAAAAAAGAACTCTCCTTTTTTTTGCCCGTTACTGCGTTTGTGTTCTTAAAAAAAAAATGATTCCATGGAAAATTAATTCTACTCGGTTTTCTTTTTATTTACCGTTCATTAATTATTTTCAGTGTATATTGCATTTATAATCATTATATTTCAGTATATTGAACCAAAAAAAAAAAGTATATTTCAGTATATTTTCAGTGTATGTTGCTGTAAATATAATGAGTTCTTACTGTAAATAAAAATGAAATAAAAAACATTAATATAAATATTGAAAAATGAAACAACATAAACTGATGTATATTGAATAAACTATAAATATACATCAAATAAACATTGAAAAACAGTATATTTTACGTTCATCATCGGCCAGAATGCCGTGGTAGCCGCGGGACTCGAGATGACGCGATTCATATACTGTACATATACTCCAATCCAAAAATTTGTCCAAAAACAAAAATAAAAACGAATGCATCTTCAGATTGAAATTCACGTTCCCACTCCTTGACCTATCGATATTCATCTCGTCCGCCACCAATCGCTCCACGAAGCTCCCTGTCGCAGCGAAATTGGTCGTGAATTACATCTTCCACAAAGGAATGAGTCATTCCCCATAAGCCCACAAAAGATAAATGAGTTACATACCTGATTAGCCCAAATTACAATCCTTTTCTGTATTTTTATATCTTACACCTACAATCCTTTTCACAGGTGGAGCTCCACCACGTTCCTCTTTGCCGTCTGTCCCACCACGTACCTCACTATCCCTTCAAATTCTCCTCCAAGTGCCTCAAATCCACCGCCGGGCCATCAAATTCTCCTCACTATCCCTTCAAATTCACGTTCCTCGTTTCCCGTCAGAACGACAAGACCGTCATCTCTGACAGAGACTCTGACTCGTAGAAGATCTCGGCCACTGTGTGGTCGTACGCGAGCCTCATCTTCTTGTTAGGGTTCCGCGTGGTTGGCGGATCTCGGAGGTGAAGGGAACGAGCGAGTTGTTGCCAAACGTGAAATTGGAGATCGAGAACGAGTCGGGGTAGTTGAGAGGTTTTGTTCCAATAATTAAGGAAAAAATCATTAATTATAATATTCCATAATTTGATAGACATTAAAAAACTGGTATATGTGCAAATATTTATAGTACATGTGGTAGGTTTGCAAATAAATATATACTGAATGGAACCGGTCCGGGTGGGCTATTCGGACCGGGAAACAACGGACCCGGTCAAACCCGGTCAAAACCCGGTCAACCCGGCATTGACCCGGTCGACCCGGGGCATTGACCCGGCTGGGTCAACCCGGTTGACCCGGTCCTATATATATTTTTTTAATTTTTTTTATTTTTTAATATATTTTTTGTTTTTAAAAAATAAAACTATTTATATATATTTATATGGTCAATATTTATCATGAAATACATATTATTAGCACTTTAATGTGCAAATTTTATATACAAAATATTTAATTTTGTTATTTTTATGTATATTTATAAGACAAAATACTCTATATATAATTTAAAAAAATTTAAAATTAAATATCCGGTTCAGCAATTGACCCGGTGACCCGGCGGTTGAACCGGTGACCCGGAGACCTGCCCGGGTCGATTCTTGGGCCGG